GAGGGAGTCAAGGTATTCTCCAAAGAGGGTAGGACAAGAAGCAATGAGTGGAAACTAATCAAGGAGAGAAACAACTTAGAACTGAGAAGAAATTTCCTGACAGTTCAAACAATTAACCAGTGGAACAATTTACCTCTAGAAGATGTGAATGCTCCAATGGACATTTTTAAGAATATGTTGGATAACCATTTGACTGAAGTGGTGTAGGGTTTCCTGCCTAAGCAGGGGTTTTGACTAGAAGACCTCCAAGTCCCTTCCAACTCCATTATTCTATTCTAACTACTTTTCAGTTATTAGGGATCTTTGAATCAACAAGCCTAAAAACACTAGACTGGATTAATCTGCCTTCAATCCTTAATGAAAGAAAACTTTAATTACAAAAATGGATTAGACAGCACAAAGATAATTAAAATTTTGATTTTGAAAAGTTTAAATGGGTAAGTTATAAAGAATTAATTATAAAGAACACTTTGTCTGAGAAACTTGATCTGTTTTAAATATATGAGAGATAACAATTTCAATAACTGTACACTAGAGGGAACTAAAGTTTTTAATTGAAGGAGAAGAATACATAAATCTGATTAAGAACTACAGAATGACACAAAATATTATAACATTTTGGAAATGTTATATTATAACAATTGGAAATACTGCAGGATACTTTTGAAAAGTGGAATCAGAAGTTAATATCAACAATGTCAATAGTGTTTGTGGATGGATTGTGTCCAAACAACGTTTTAGAAAAAAATGTCAGAAGAGGAACAAGTTTTATTTGACAAGACAGAGATGGCATCAACAGTGGATCTAGAAATAAGAATGACATGGAAAGAATGACATGGAAAAAGATGTTTAATTGGACATACAAAATAAATTGGTTGATGCTTTAAAAATCAAATGCAATTACAATTAATAAACCAACACAATGACTTGGATAATTCTTTTATATTGGATTTACAAAAGAGATTAATTAAAGCCTGGATGAATGTTGTAAAAATGAATATCAAAGAAATAAAGAAAATTGAGTTTTATGACATTACGTGGATTAAAAATAAGATAGAAGTCAAAGGAAGAAATATAAAATTAGTTTATTTGATAAAGGTTAAAATAGATATTGTTATTCTCTGGTAATTCTTAATAGATTATTGTTGACATCAGAACTGAAATGACTATATTTATGGATTTGTTTATAGATAAGATATGGGCCATAGAATGATCAGATCATTTGGTTGTAAATTAAGAGGTGTTAAAAACGTACTAAAGTGTTTATACTACTTAACAGAAATCTTGGAAGTCACTTCTTTACATATTTCTTTTTCTTTGTTATATTCTTAATTTTTCTCTTTTTTCTCTTTTCCTCTGCACTTTTTCCTTCACTATTTCTACTCTGTTCTTTCTTTTAGTTTGTATTACTTTTTACAATTGCAATTATCATACTTAATATTATTTTTAAAACTTTGTAAATATTTTAGGAAAGGTGAAGGACTGAAAGCATGTGTGAACCCACATTTTTATTTAATCTTGTAATAATTGCAATCAATGAGTTTATTTTTTCAAGTATCTCTTATATATGTTTGAATGTTGATATCATTCAATTAAATAAAACAATGGGGGATTACAAATTTGTAGCAGCTAATTCACTTAAAAACTATGCAGTTAAAGACAACTACACAATTAGAATGCAACTAAAGAATTTTATAGGACACGTGCAATTCAGATATGTCTAACATTTGATTTATTGGTTGGTATCTGCCTCCAATCCTTAACTAAAGAAATAAAATAGTAATATGAGATGGATTAATTATAACAACAGCAATGTAATATAAATTTCAAGCACAACAGACTTGACCTTAAGGAAAATTCTCAAGTTAAAAAAAAAACCTGCTGTTATTCTCATGCCAAATTAGAAAAAATATGAAAGATTCATAAGCTCTGGAGGGGATTAATCAATGGAAACCTTTAGAGGTCATCCTTCCACCTAGAGGGAAAATATTTGAAATTTTAAAATGTGATACTTTGAAAGCATTTTCCCCCCAGTCATGACAGTCGTTGTAATTATAGAAGCATATCTTGATAACGTTGACATTCTTGTATCCATTTGTGAAATGTCAGAACCTTATGTTTAAATATGTAAGGGAACTTTATTTGAGGAAAGCTGAAATGATTTCGGTTATGAGTGCTCCTTTCTTAATAGGTTTTTAGTTAAAAAGGAAATAGAATGTTTGGGTTGCATTAGGAAATCCCCTGCTTTCTGTTATTCACATGCAAATCCAAGGTCAGAAAGCTGACTTGAATGTCATCAGAAGTAACTTGTTAATGTAATACCATGGCTCCAAACAAATACAGAATTTTGCATCATCATCATCAACAATCTAGAAGAGAAAAAGGAGGGAAAAGAAACACTCTTTGATTATTTAGTCAACAAATGGAAAGAAAAAAAGATTACCATTTTAACTCAAGGTATCTTTTTCAAGAGGCAACCAGAGTTTCTTGTTTTTCTTTGAAGACGTTTTACTTCTCATCCAAGAAGCTTCTTCAGCTCTGAATCTCCATAGACAGTTAGCCTTTTAATATAAATTGGGGCAGTTCTTGTGGAAGTGTAATTCCCACCATTTCTCTTAACCCAAATAAGTTGTTACTAGTCACTGTTGAGAAATCTGCCTCTTAATCTATTATACAATCAATGCTAAGCAGAAAATCTTTAGACCATAGCACTTGTAACACTGTCCATGGTCCTGAAATTGTTAATCTATAAATCTTCAGCTCATTACCCTTCCCTCAACCCTCTTGCCTAAATAGTAGCCTTTTTGGGATAGTAGAGTTCCTGATGATTCCAAAAATCATCATGGTTTTACTCTTTAAATTACCTGATGAATCAATGGAAAAAAACCTTTTTTTTTAAATTTTCCTTCCATGATAGATAAATTTCATAAATGTCATAAATTGAATCTTATATGGAGTTCATATTTGGAATTTCCCACATCACAATTCTTTATAGAGGCTCCTAACAGTTCCATTAATCAAGCTGAGTTTATATCAAACTGCATCATAATTATCTTTCCCCTGCATCCATACTATTTGTGTCAAAAGTATTAGATAATTCTACACACCAAAATTGTCCCATAAATATTTTGCCACAAGGCTTGACTGAGATTTGGAAGCTAAGTATGCATACTGCAAAATAGATTGTTATGCTATATCTCAGGTTAGCACATCAGGATAGATTTTAGAAAGCATCTTGCTCTTTATACATATTTCTATGGATCTTTATGCAGCAATTGTATAAATTACTCTGGAACAATATGATAACAAGGCAACAAATAGAAAAGAATGATAAGCCCATGCAGAAAATCCAAGTTGTGTGTTTATACTAGGGTTAGGGATAGGGGTATATCCAAGTTTACATTGCATCCCTCCAGGCAACAAAAGGCCTATGGAAAGAACCAGGGTTTCAATGCCTTTCTGAAGGCTATTAGGGTCAGGATCAAATATTTTTGCAGGACAGTTAGAGGAAGATCATTCAGAGAACAGACACTGCAATGGAAAAGGTACACTGTCTGGATTCAGTCATATGACATTGCTTCAAGGAAACCTAAAACATGCATATCTATTGAAAGTCCATCAAGGACAAGGGGTGCCACAAGTAGGTTGATGGTAATTGGAATGGCATAGATAAGAAGCATGTAGTAAAATATCAGACAGAGTCATAAATGTATGGGTCCTTACTGAATGTAGAGGGAATGCAAAAGTGAACAGCTAGTAAGAGTTTTGAAGAACCAAAGGCAATGGAAGAAGCCCTGTATGAACCTGGTAGAATTAAAGATTAGTTGGCATGATTGGTACACAGTACATTTAATGCAAATATGTTAGTTATTGATATTAAGCCAGTTTCATTTGTACTTTAGGTCAGCAAAATATGAAATCATTGGAGAAATTTAAAAAAAATCCATTGCCTGTGAAAACTTTGTTTGGCTTTGGAAAGACAATTAATTTCAGATGAATTGAAGTCCTATTGATAATGTCTCTTTGCTCACATGGGGATTAATGAATTCACATCTGGTCAACTGATTTTATTTCTGTCCAAATTGCATTTGACTTTCCTAAGACTAGTTCAAGAATTGTTGCTATTGCACAAGGCACTAAGTATGACTGAAACAATCTTCTCACAGCTTTTGAATTTTCTGAAGCACAAGCCCATATCATCACATTTTGGAACATTGGTACACTGATTGGGAAACATGAAACAAAATTCCAGAATGAATATTTTGTGAAATAATTTGTATATGTATTTGTATACTCCTTTCTGTACATTCTTAAAATGTACCAATAATATGTTTCCATATTTCATTTAAATTTTTATGAGAGGGGGAAGGAGGGAGGGAGATGGACAGAGGCAGAAAGAGACAGAAAGAGAAAAAGAAAGAGAGAGAAATATATACAGAAATTGCTGAAAAGAAATGCAGGCAAAGGATGATGGCTTAATAGATCATGTTTTTATTTGGGGCATGTGAATTAGATTGGCTTGAATTAAAACTAAATTAAAAATTGATTTAATGAAACAATAAATAGACTTATTTGTTTTACTGATCTGAAATGTTTTCCATTAGGATACTTTGGGGGGAAAGTATTCAATTGTATATGAAAAGCATTCATATAACAAAAGAAAGCTGCCCTCAAATGAAATGCTTTTTATTTCATAAAAAAAGATATATGAGAGATATAAGTCAATGCTTCTACATATGAATAAGGCCTGATATCACTGATATAAAGTGAACATACTGCATAAATGAATGATTTCCGAGAAACCTATTAGTTCTGCAACCATAACTTGCAAATCAATTTAATAACTTGGAAATCCTCAAATAATAGTTAAGTCAAAGAAGTTGCAAATATGACATTTATCACTAGATGGCAGACATGCTCTGTATAATGTGTGCTAATCTGGTACATCATACTCTAACCTGTGTGTAGGAGAGTNTGTATGTATGTATGTATGTATGTATGTATGTATGTATGTATGTATGTATGTATATGAATCCTGAATTTCTGGGAAGCTATATAGACAAACACCAGCCTGAAGATGGCGAGTGAGACCTCGCCGAAATGTTACCAAGACAATCTCAATCTATATTCGCTCTCCAGAGCCAAAGACAGATGGTTTTCCCATTACATTATTCTTCCCCACCCATGCTTTCTTTCTTTACTAAACTGAATATTCCCAGTTTATAGTACTGAATAGTATTCTTTGCTGTGGCAAATTATTGGGAATCATACCTACTGCTTTTTTCAATCAAATTTGTCCCATTTCACTTTTCTAACATGATCCATATTCTTTTAATCATCCTACGAGTACATTCATGGAGTAATAATTAGGCTAAAAATATGTCTGTCTTTAAAAAACATATCTGGTTTTCGTAATTAACCTACCAAGAGTAACTTGCTATGAAAAGGTACAGTACTAGAAATAAATAGTTCTACAGTTCAACAATCCATGAAATGGGTTGCCATTTCCAGTCTGCATGTTAAGTCCAGAAGTCCTTTCAAAGCATCAACTAATTTGACTACACAGGAAGAATAGCGTGGGTCTACATATACCAAGTCCCCCAAAGAAATGAGAAGGCAATTTCACTTAATCTCTTTTTTGGTTTTGTAATGAGCAGAAACCACCAGGTAGCTGTCTGGAGTCAGGTCCTTGATGGTTGGAGACTTGTTCTGGATGGGGGAAGTTTTGCCATCCACCCGAGATATTTGCAGCATTCGGCAGGGGTCATGCTTCAGCAAGTATCCTGCAAATGTCTCCCATCCTCCTCCTACACGAACCATTACGTGTTTGTTGTGCAGCATCTAAATCAGCAAAAGGAATGGGAAAAAAGAAGGCAAGTTAAAATAGCTGAAGGGCAAAATTCACATTTATCAACTGTTGAGAAGTGAAAGGGCTTGATATCATACATAATCCTGTTAAACTCATTGTTAGTATCCAATACTGGACTAATATGTGGCCGGAAATATAGATTTTTGCCCCTGAGATATTTCCTCTCCAAAGATAGTCAAATCTAGATGAATGTGTCCTTTCTTGTTATTAGGTTCTAGGGAAATATCTATAACTTATGAACCCCTTCTAAACCAGTGGCCCCAACCTTTTGAGCACTGGGGACCAGTTTCATGGAGAGAGGGTTTTTTGTGCGCTGCTTGCATCCCATGGATGGAGCTTCACTTGTTTTTGTGACCCGGTTTCTGGCGTGCTGCAGACTGGTACCCGTCCACAGACTGGGGATTGGGGACCCCTGTTCTAAACTATGGCCAGAAAAAAGAGATGGGGGCGACAGTGCCTGCTTTGACTTTTATAGCAATTTGTTCCATAAGACTTCATAATGGGAAAAAAGGAATGAATTGTTGATGTCAAATGTATATGTGGAAAATACCTGTAAAAAAATAGCTGATTGATAAGCCAAGAGTGTTAAAGGGAGTTCATGTCATCTAAATAGCTTGGAAAGCCAGATCAACTTTATTGGGCACTATCTACATTTGACTTAGAGATCAATCAGCAAGCAGAGAAGCAGTGGCAATAGAGTGATGATCACAGACTTACAGTTTAAGCACTCCAGGACAGATGCAATTTCTGAAGCATCTTCAGGGACCATTTCATAAACAAAACATTGGAGTAGTTTAGCCTATAGGAATCACTGAAGCTAAAACTTTCTCTTTATATATGCATATACCTATTTGATGTGGCAAGAATATACCTATTTGTGGCAAGGAAGTAGGGGCAGTCAGGCATAACACAGGTTATGTAGACAGTAAACACACGGTCAGTCAAAATGGACTCAAATGTCTATACACCAATGAACAGAGTATAAGGAATAAACAGGGTGAATTAGAAATTCAAGTAAATGAGGGCAGATATATTGTTGCCATTACAGAAACTTGGTGGGATGAAACCCNTATGGACATATATACATACATACATTATTAACAGAGAAAAATCTGAACCAGACTTGGAAATCCCATAAATCTTGAGTGTACATTTCATAGCTTCAAAATAATCATTCCTATGATGTGTCTATTTGATCCTAAACCGAAGCTGTAAGGGGGTAGTGTTTTTTTTTAATTGGCAACCACTGTTCAGCACAGTAAGATAGGTAGGATGTAAAGCAAGTTGCTTGGATATTATTTTTTTTCCAAGCTTGACATAGCCACATTCCTATGGTCTGCTCCATCAGGGGGTTGGACAAGCAGTCCTCCAAGGACCCTTCCAGCTCTGTGATTCTGTGATTCCTAGACATGTGCTGCTGAAGTATTTGCTTTTTATTAGGACGATACTCCCTTCTACTAATCTTTTGCCTTATCCTGTAGTCATTTGCAGTTCTATGAATATTTATTCTATATCAATGATACTAAATTCATGGGAGAATTTTGGGACAGTCTTCTTTAGAATTATTTATTGGACAGAATTTTTAAATCACCCCAAACAAGTCAGTTAGCTGGGTGTAGACATGGGATGGCTGGATAAATATAACGAAATCCAAAACCACTTTACCAGCAGTGGGGGGGGAAGGGAACTTTCCCACCCCCCAAGAAACAAAACAGGAATAACAGAATCAAAATCAAATCAAATGGTTGCCCTTTATTTTTCCTAGCTATTATTTTTATTTTATTTATTTGTTTGTTTGTTTATTTAGTTTGTCACTCATGTACAAGATAACAGTAATAAGAATAAATATAAATAAGAACACAGTAAATGGGTACAAATAAATGGGGACAGTAGGACAGGGATATTAGGCATGTTGGTGCACTTTTGCACACCCCTATGCACTTAATCGCCCCTCCCCAAAATCCAGATAAAAAGTCTGCCCCAAATAAGGAACCAGAGGCTCGTGCTGTTGGGCTATAAGCTCCGCCCTTTTTTGTGTGACTGGCGAGTGTCGCTCACCTGAAAGAAAGGCTGGAGCTCACACTGCCTTCAAATCTCAGGAATACCTTTGAAAGCTATTCCTAAACTTGGGGCGGAGATCATTACCAGACATTTCTCCAGAGATAAAGCATCTCATAATGCACAAGGCACTAAGAAAAAGTCCCATCTCTCTTTTTTTTAAACTAAGCAATGATCCTCCCCCTCCCACAGCTATATATGAACAAACATCAGGAAAGGCTAGGCTTTTGTTCTTGATGCAGGAGTCTGAAGAGCCAGTCTGTTTATGAACAATGGCATGATTTTTAAGGTAAGGATATTCACACACATACATACACACAAACACCGGTTTAAAACACCCATTTCAGGTTTTGTTTTTTTTTCCATCCTCATTTCCCCAAATCAAGGTCGATTCTCCCAGCTTTGTATTGGGAGCCCGCTGTACACTTTGAAATGCCATTTTCCCAAAACACTTTTGCAAGAAGAACAAGGCAGGGAGTAATTGTGTTGAACTAGTTGCTTCCAATTAGAATTGGCCCAAACACTGTACAGACACATTTGGCTGTCACTCAGGGTTATACATGCGAAGGCCGCTTTGAAGATGTAAATCAAAATTGCAAATGTGCACTGGAACCACTCTGGGCTGCAGGAACCACAGCTTTCAAAACAGGGATGACAGATTGAACCAGCTAGAAATTTTAATTAAAGCTCGTAAGGGAGAACTCTCCAGCTAGCTGAGCCTCAGCTGTGTGGCTGCCCTGGCTTGGATGAAGCGCCATGCCAGAAAACCAGAATGATTTGAGAAAGTCATCACATCCTTAGAATCCATTAATTCTGCTCCCTTATAATGACAATATTTTTGAAGCAACCGGGGGGAGTGCGGGCAGGCAGTTTTAAAAATGACAGAACATATAGTACGGGATACAAAGCAGTGTGACCTTGGTTGCTTAGCAATGTGGGAATAATGCAAAAGAAAATGAAAAAAAAATCCAGAAACTATGGGGCCTTTGTGCTACACTCTTGCGAAGCGTTATGTTATGTACTTCTCTTCAATATTTGTGGTAAATTGCCAAAGCTCCCTGCATTACGCTCCCTAAAAAGGTGAAACACCAATGAGAAAAATGTAGGATCACTTTTTCCTTTCTTCTAGGAGATTAAAAAGGATGGTTTGCTTGCTAGAAGACCCTGTTGCTTTTTAGAATGTCTGGTCCTGAAATCTTTTTAAATTGTAAACAAAAGAGAAAGGGCTTGGGAAAATATTCATGCATTTTTCTTAAGATAATCTAAGTGCACCTTATCACAGTTCCAAAGAGACACAAGATCAGGGCTACATGTTATTGCAACTTTCCGAAAAATGAATTACCCAGTTAATCTAAGCAAAAGTAGGTTGGGTGCACAAGAGCCAGTGAAAAGCCGGTATGTTTATCTAATCTGTGGTCCTTTCTCTCATGTTCTTTAGGTGTGTTTACGTACTGGTGGACACTTGATTTGGCTGGGGATACTTGTCCTGAAACAGTCTGGTGGGCATCCTGGACATTCTTTTGAGTTGGAACCATCAACCAAAACCAGGTAACTTCATTGACTTGGAAAGCTTCTTGCCAGCATTAGCTATTTGACCAGTTCTAACTCCTCTATAGGAAGAGGGCTGGCTTTGAGTAGACAAATGCTAGGATTACATGACGCTCTCTTTGCAAACAGGTGAGGAATTATTGTGGTAGCAAAAAAAAAACAAAAAACCTGGTGGGCACAAAGTGTTGGAATACATGCACCTGTATTATGATGGTTACAGAGGATACATCTTGTTTCCTGATCCTAGCTTTAAAATAAAGTAAAAACCTGTGGTGTCATAATCTGAGGTGCCACCTTCATTTTTCATCTTTTCCATTATCAGAATGGTATGTGGTACACGGTCAGCTCTGATAATGTGAATGCTGAGCGCTAGCAACAAGATCTTTTCATTAGTGGTTCAATGAGATTCAATTCATTTAGTCTACATGTTGCTTCTACACCAAAATTTATACCTAAGCTTGGTTCGAAGTAAGATAAAAATTCAATTCAACGTGACTATGGCAAAAATATTCAGATGCTATTTGCATTTACAACATGGATGAAAAACAAAGCTTGTACTTTTGAATGCCTTCTTATTTGCTTGCAACTTAAAAAAATCAATTCTACTTCTATTACTATAATTATCATCTTTATAGGATTCAGAAATTTGCCTCAGGACCATAACAGATATGAGGAAGAACTATATTTTTATGTCACCCTTGTATCACTTAATGAATACATTGTAAAGTGATTCTATTTTGAAACCCATCTAACTAATGAGATTGCTCTAGTGGCGACTTTTCATGGAAGCATTTTTAAACACAATATCAAATCAAAAGGTTCCAAAGGAAAATTTCCAAAACACATTGTTTAAATATGAAGATGTGGAAGTCATGTAGCTTTGAAGGTGATATGAAGATAAATGATCTGCGTTTAGTATTAACCATCTTGGCTGCTGCCAAATGCAACATAGAGGCATTTAGACTAAACCTTAACCTAAGAAATCTGAGTAGATTGGATGCCTTTATGTTCATCAGTTTTATATCTTCCTCTTTAAACTACAACACCAGAAGAAGAATGAAATAAAGAAAGGAGACTTTGGCAAAGTGTTTGGACCAGAAATGTGCTCTAAATGCCAAAAAAATACTGATTGTTGTAACAGAATATCTGGGAGCTTTTATCCTTCCATTTCCTTTCAGCGTGAACAACTGAATTTGGCCTTTTGACAGGAAGAAATATCTGGTGAGTAGCTTTCCTGAGAAAGTGTTTCATAGTCTCCATCTCTAATAGGATGGAGTTTCATAGTCTCCATTTCTAATAGGATAAAAAAGAACAGAGGATCCTGGTACATAACCCCTGTATGACTTAATTAATATGTTCATATATT